ACAAACGTTCCAAAACGGAAACGACTCGGTTTGTTTATAACGACGAAGGCCGCTTGGATCGTGTGCTTTTTCTGAACTAATAGCCCCTCGTCCACCGGCTAACTTCCAGTTTTTATCACACAATATCAGTTGAGTGTTTGGTTGAGGAAACTAGCGAAGCCTACAACGCGACGTCAGGCACGTCACTCTGCTCGCGCAGCGTGGTCACGTGACCAAACACATGGTGGCTATTTTCATTATGGGGAGCGACCGCTGCTATACTGCTCTTTGTTTAAATCCACTTTTTTGCTTTTTAAATGTCTAAATAGCGGACATACAGTTTTATTTGGATTTTAGAAGTATATTGTCGATCCAATTTGTTCACGGTTATTTTTATTATTTATAGTAATAAACAGTTGTAATAATAATAGTAAGATAAAGTCTCTCACACTGCCAAGATGAGGTAAGGACTTTCTCTCGTCCCCTTATCACTATCAGTAATGTAACACGTATGCACAGATCTACAGGGTTCCATCAGTAAACATTGCAGAGGTAGAACAGCTGCTGTCGTGTGATTTTAAAAGAAGGCAGATTTTGTGATTGATTGGGAGCATCTCTTATATAGGTACTGTGTGCATGTTATTTCCGAATACAGGCCTATAGGCTACGTTCATTCAGATAAATAACTTGAGCACATAATACAGTAGCTTATGTATAATATAAGTAAGTTATAATAACATAAGTAACTTATAATAACAAGTAACTTTATTACCTTTCACACATATACAATGTTATTCAAAGTGCATATCAAACTGTATTAAAAATCAAGGCAGTAGGCGCATACTTTTAAATGTAATAAAACAGTAACATTAGATGAAAGCAAGGCTACTCCAAAGTATTATTACATTCTAAAAAAGTTTAGAAGAATATAAAAGGTCATTAAAAAAAAGATACAATCACAAATCACATACATATATATACTTCCACGTTTAATACTTTTACCTTGCTGCTGTATTGCTAAACTGTTACTGGTACTGGATGTGTATTTTGTAAATTGTGTAATTTGTAGTTGTATCTTTTAATATTTGTATGCATGCTTCTTAAGTGATATTAAGCTATCTTTGGCTCTTTACTTGCTGTACCACATTTTAATTTCCCCTCTGTGGGACGAATAAAGGTACTCTGATTTTGATAGAATTACATGTCCAACATTTGAGATAGTATACCAAAAGGTATTGCACCACTAGGTGGCTCTGTATTGAGTGCTTATTTTTTCCATTCTGAACAAGTAATCCAACACTTAACTCAGGACTCTGACCTTGTGCCTACAAATTCATGCAGTTGATGTTTTCTACATTTTCAAGTTTTTAACGGCACACATTGCAACCGTCTGTGACATAATACATTACACAATACATAATGAATGAAAGGGGGTTACACAGTAATATCACGGTTCAAACTCGAAGGCAGGTTGTTTTGAGGCATGCATTTGGCCTGAACAGATGTTATACAGAAGACAGGGGATAAAGGAAAGGATAGGCGTTTGCCAGGTGAATACAATACCATGTATGTGTTACTGTGTATCAAGAACTGTACACTGTTTACTTCCAGTATGTGCTTGAGAATATAAATGTATGACGAACTGACACCACTACAATTAAAAGTCAGTACAGAAAACCCTCGCTGGATTTGGAACACCAAATATGACAAAATGAACAGGATAAAATTTGATGCGAGCTGCATACTGAAGTCATTCCTATTGGTTTAGATACCTATTTAATATTTAATGAGCTGTGCTAAAAGAAAATCTCCCTGAATATAGGGAACTGGATGTCTTCTGCAGAGGTATAAAGGCTGTTTAGAGACAAAAGAAGACATTTACTTTAATAGAATATTCAAACGTATAAATCAAATATAGTATTATTTATTCTTCAGGGTCAAATGTGAGAGGAGAGACATCTGGTGGCCTTTATTAAAGACTCAGGCGGTTGATTTAAAAAGGTGGTTGACGTTATATTTATTTGTAGGAGACAGTTGTCCAAAGTGACTCATTTTCTCGCACACACACACACATCACAAGCTATTTCTTGCTCAAGGACAATTTGAAACATGGACAGAAGGAAGGACGCCGCCAATATTAATGACCCATCTGCTCTTCCTCCTGCCCTACAGGTGCCCCCAAGATTGTTTATGATTAAAAGGGCATATACCGGCATATCATAGTTTACAATCTTATTAATGCAGTGTTTACTTTATGGTTAAGATAATACTGCAACTAGGTCAGATACAAACTGTATAGCGTTTAGCATTTTTAGAAACATTACATTTACATTTACATTATAGATTTGAACCGAAGTCTTTATTTATTCTATATCTTAATGTTATCAATATTGTTATTTTTTCATATTTGGAAGAATTGACTATCCCCCATCTGAAAACAAATCTCAAAACAGACACAAGGGGGCAGTGTCTACCAGAGCAAATAGCACGCCATTACAGGCCTTTTGTTGTCGAGCATACATCTTTCTTACAAGGAAATGGTCAGTCAATGTAACAGGTGTTTCGAGGTGTGCAAATATGACTCCTAAATAATAAATGCAAACGCTTTATGTTTCCGTTGGATTGTATTATAGCCTTTATTGGAAGAAAACAATGTTCAGTTTAGGCTTAGTTTCAGTGGGGTGCGAAAGCCAATGCAGTGCGTATAGTTTATGGGACATTAAACGCTCCATTTAAAGCAATAGTTTTAAGTTGGATTCCCTACAGTTTTTATTGAAATCCAACTCTGAAGCTATTGGAGAAAGCTGTGTCCTAAATGCACCGTTAGATCAATCAAATGAATGTCTAATCTATCCAATCTAAAGGATATAATTAAACATTATCAGCATAAAAATGTGCTTGTATCACATGTATCCTGACCAATGTCAGAGGTTCCTTCACTCTGGAATCGCATTTTATTGTTTTGAACGTTTGTTGGCATGTCAATTCATGAAGCATATCCCATTTTATTTATTTTTTTAGATATTGGCTTTCAAAATCTTTCTACCTAAGCTGCAGAATTTAGGCAAAAGTGTGGTTTTCTGCTGGTTTACATGCAACAGTTAAAGATTGGATCAAGAAATGTTACAATTGCAAGTTCATTGCATCTCATTAATAAACCATTCCACCCAAAGCAAACTCTCTCATAATAAATGTTTAAATATTTAGAAGGCCAGGAGACGGCCACGTTTCCATCTTGTTGTGTTTTCATTGTGTTCCAATGCTATGTTTATAAAAAAGATTTTCTGCAAAGAAATATTCTCCAATGGGATTAATAAAGATCTAAGCTGACTGCATGCTTATTAAATAATAAGATTTTTTGCTGAATTAAACCAAATCAAATCCAACACACAAATATGTTTATTGATTGTGTGTCTTTTGTTGCTACACATTTTATTTTGGAGGGCTTTGTTGAATCATTTAGAGACACTGGTGAAGACATGTCTAAGTCAGAATAGTTGCTTGCTTTAGACATAGAGATGTCTTCATTTATTTTACAGTGATTTTTGGTGATAGTATTTTTGATTACCTACTAAATGCAGACATGCAGTAAGTGAGTGCTGCTGAGTCATGAGCTAACAAGTCAGACTGATGTCGGTGTTTTTCTTAGGTGACTTTCCTTTAAGCTGATGAGAGATGACAAAGGTTGGGAAGATCCCGGGTTAGCCTGACACCCAACCTACAGTCTAATGTATTCCATTCAGAACTTGAATGGCTAAACCAGATAGGGCTTCTTGCTCTATGGCTGGAAAAAGCATATTACTCCAATTGCAGGGTGCTCTATTTAAAGCCCATGTTGTTTTTACATTTTTATAAAAGTAAATGTTTTCTAAAATAAGTTATGTCCGGCCGCTCTGTTGGTGACGAATACAATATGAAAACAAGACAACCCAAAATATCAGAGCTGACTGCTTTGCCATACTTCAGTACACATTTCAGCCATAAAAGTGGGCATGGATCACTGGGCAGTAGCTAACACTGAGGACTCTTGAGGTCATTTCTTCTGTAGCTCTTTTTTTCATAGCAAACATGTGGGGTTTTAGCAGCCAAATGTACACTTATATTCCAAAGTTTGTGTGGATATCTGCAACCTACGTATTTGCTGGAAAATATGTGTTGTTTTTTGTTTTGATTTTATGCTGCTTTCTTTGCTTTTATGTATGCATTTTATGGAAACTTTATAAATAAAATGTTAGATTGTGTCTAATAATGATACAAAATATATATATGAAATTGTAAACATACTAGTCAGTAAGAGTTTTAACTAAACAAAACAAGTTTTTGAATATCTAACGTTATAAAAGTATTCACAATATATACAGGTACAGGGTTGTGTCAGATAAATGTGTATGAGTAATAGTATTTATCAATGAATTTCAATTCCGAAATGATTGAGGTAATAGTATTTAAATGGACATTATAAGTATTTTTTGATAGGTATTAGGTTACACCAAAAAAACGTGTCATCCAGGGGTTGAATATATGAACATTTGTTCAATTAGCTAAGGACTATATGGCACAATTTTGAGGGAGCTTACATATTACTTTGCTAGTTAATGCATATGTTGACGCTATTGCATATTAATAATTTTTACTTGCTTACGTTTTACTACAGGGTTTATAATTTCTGCACTGTTTTTAGATAGTCTAACAGCCATGAAATCAGTATTTCTTTTTATCATGGTATGCAATTGTTTGCATTAGCGTCAAATTGAGACATTACCTTTTCCCACTGTTATCTCCCAGCCCTCAAATAAACTCTTCACGAATTTGACAACCCATTCTCACACGCTTGTGAGGTTATATGCATTATTTTTGAGGGACATGACGTTCTCGTCTGGATGATGTACTTTATTGTAGCACATGCACATCAGGCGGTTGATTGGTGTTGTCTGTAGGATTGCCGCATCCTGTAGCTCCGCCCTCGATTATTCAGCCTGGTCGACGTGCGGTTGCTGAGCAGCGTGAAGGCAGAAGCGACCGAGCCGGAGCGGAGGGAGACTGGAGGAGCCCACACATGAATGTTGTTGTAGCGGAAAATACCTTTGCTGCACTTTCACACGCTGCAACCTCTGATTTTAAAAATAACCACAATTTCCTCTCGGGGCTGACCGAGAGGAAGGACCACGCAGAGAGGAATTAAAACAGGTTTTTTTTTTCTCACGAAGGAGAAGTTTGTACGTGGAGTTTGGAGAGTAGTTTTGGGTAGGCTGACTGAGCTAGTCTGGCTGCCTGCTGCGCCTCCCTCCTGCCCGGCCAGCCAGCCAGTTAGCCCGCTGAACGTCTCAACCTCCAGCTGTTAGTGAACATGGCGCTAAAAGCCAGGGTGCTATACGACTTCAGCTCTGAAAACCCCGGGGAGGTGTCTGTGAAGGAGAGCGAAATCCTCACTTTGTACAGCGAGCAGGATATTGACGGCTGGTTTGAGGGGGTGAACAGCAAAGGGGAGAGGGGTCTGTTCCCCGCGTCCTACGTGGAAATCCTAAGGACCGACACTGCCTCCACGCTCAACAACAACAGCTGCAGCACATCTGGGGACGCTAAGCCTGACTCGCGATATGCAAACATCCCCCCCGGAGGTTTCGACGGCTCTTACAAGCCTCAGAATAAAGTTGACAACTTTACAAAACCGTCTGCTCCTAGTATCGCCTCTTTCTCAGCCCCCACACAACCACCACCGCAGCAGCAGCAGCCCACTTACCAGCAGCCCAGCCAAGGCAGTGATGATGACTGGGATGATGACTGGGATGACAGCTCCACTGTTGCAGATGAGCCTGGGACTGTTGGTCATGACTTTGCAGGTAGTCGAGCATCCACTTATAGAGTGTCAACATCCTCAATGTCAAGAGGTAATGCACAGCAAGCTAAGAGCTCTGCCACGGTCAGTAGAAACCTCAACAGGTTTTCCACCTTTGTGAAGTCAGGAGGAGAGGCGTTTGTGCTTGGGGAGGCCGCAGGCTTTGTGAAAGATGGGGACAAAATCTGCGTTATAATGGGTCAGTATGGCCCTGAGTGGCAGGAGAACCCGTACCCATTCGCTTGTTCAATTGACGACCCAACTAAACAGACTAAGTTCAAGGGCATGAAGAGCTACATGTCCTACAAGCTGACCCCCACCCACACACAGAACCAGGTGAACAGGAGGTATAAGCACTTTGACTGGCTGTACGCTCGGCTGGTGGAGAAGTTTCCCGTCATCTCAGTGCCACACATCCCAGAGAAGCAGGCCACGGGGCGCTTTGAGGAGGACTTCATCTCCAAGAGGAGGAAAGGCCTCATATGGTGGATGAACCACATGATCAGCCACCCTGTCCTGGCCAGGTGTGATGTGTTCCAGCACTTCCTGACCTGCAACAGCACAGACGAGAAGGCCTGGAAGCTGGGAAAGAGGAAGGCGGAGAAGGACGAGATGGTTGGAGCCAACTTTTTCCTCACCATCAGCCCCCCTGCTGCTCCGCTTGACTTCCAGGAGGTCGAGAGCAAGATAGACGGATTCAAGACTTTCACTAAAAGAATGGACGACAGCGCCTTTCAGCTCAACGCCACGGCCAACGAGTTTGCCCGCAAGCAGATCACTGGCTTTAAGAAGGAGTATCAGAAAGTGGGGATGTCGTTCAAGGTCCTCAGCCAAGCCTTTGAAATGGACCAGCAGGGTTACTCTTCGGGACTCAACCAGGCCATCTCCTTCACTGGAGATGCGTACGAATCCATCGGAGAGTATTTTGCCGAGCAGCCCGGCAAAGATCTCGACCCCATCATGGATTTGTTAGCTCTTTACCAAGGACACCTGGCAAACTACCCAGACATCATCCATGTCCAGAAAGGTAAAATCACGCTGTCATACACATTTCATTCCTTTCTCACACAGATGTATCATTTTGCATTGGTTGCTTTCACAGGAGTCTCTAAAATCCAAAGATGTTCTTTTTTTTAACGTCTTTTTTACGTCTTTTGATTTATATCATTATATTTCAATGTATTGTTGCTTCTTCAACACTATTAAAGCCTAGCAGCATTGAACATTTAGGGGGGAAAAAACGTTCGTCATCTAATGGATTCGTCGTAGTCGATTGAAAAATAATCTCCAAAAATGTAAATAATCAGAAAATGCAGTTTTCAGCCCCTCAAATAAGGCTTTTCTCAGTTTGATATCATATTAAACGGAGTATCTTTGGGATTTGTTTGCAACACAAATCATTCAAACACATCACACTGGACTTTAAGAATCTAGGATTGACACAGAAATGTTATTGAACAAACTATACATTTATAATCATCACATTAGTGAATATTGAGAATAGTTGTTAAATGTAAACTAAACTACAGAGGAATATGTCAAAGGTACACATCATCCCAATCCTAAAACAACAACATGAGACATTTCTTATTTATCCAATGAAATGTTTTCCAACTCAGATTTAGTCAATTCCAGATTCCCCTTGTATAAATGTAGACAGGAAACCACATGGTACTGCTGGTGTCATAAAGTAAATACAAAGGTATTGCTGGCCCTTATAAGATAAACACATATTTAGTTTCAGGCACTTTGTTGGACTTGTCAACAGCGGTCAGGTTATACTTCCCTACAGGTTATGTCACTTTGCAAAACAAATAGGCGATGTTTGCATTTGGGAATCCGTTGACATGCTTTGTTTATCCCACCTTGTGTTACAGTACATGCATAGTGTTTCATGCGAGTGCTCTGGAGGCGGAGAACGTCCTACCTGGCCTGCTGATCACAACACTGAGCCAAAAGGAATTGCTGCATAATCCCTTATAAATGATTGTCCACATATTCTGTTGTTTTTGTGCAGAGTGTCAATGTTACACTAATCTAATCCCTCCTCCTACACGACCCCAGACCAATGATTGTTCTCATTGTGTGGCAAAATGTCACTCTCATGAGAGGCAACACTGTTATGCAAGAGGCGCAGCATTCGTGTTTAGGGAAGCACCGCTGCTGTTCACCATATGTTTGTATGTGACACTGCTTCCGGCGTGAATGATAACCTGAAGCAAAGATGCAACTCAATCCAAACTGCTTCTCCTCCACGTGGGTTATATGTGGCTGCCTGTTTTCTGAATATTTATATAGGAGGTCTCTTTTCAAACTGTATTGCATTTCAAATCCAAACAAATACTAGTACTATGATGTGAACTAATCCATCTCGCTCCATCACTTATGTTAATATCAGATCATGGTGGGAAGATGGTCTTTTTATGCACTATTCAGAACCCCCCACCCCCTCCACTATTTCGTTGACCAGGTATACATGGATGCTTGCCTTTTGACATCCTGGTCTATCATGGGTCCCCCTGCAAACACTGGGCCCATTCAGTCCACAATAGACATCACTGGGGAAACAGGACAGACTGTGTTTAGTCTGCACTGGGACACAAACTTCCCAGTCAGCTTAAATCAGGTTTGCCACGTTGTCCCCACACAGCCCAAATAAGGCCACACAGCCATTCAGGTAGTCTGATGTGATAAGCCTGGCCTAATACCACAGATGAGAAACTCTTATTTGATATCACTCATGGAAGAAGTTGCTGTGGGCAGTGTTGAGAAAAGATGGCAGAGTGCAGTGAAACCTCACTGCAACACAGCTGACAGGAGAGCCAGGGCACGCAGCAGATGAAAGGAGGAGCTGCCTGTAACACATTGAGACCCAGACTCTCATCTTGTTTTTAGTGCACTGAGGCTGTTTAGCTTCTGTATTTATTATGAGACCAGTTGAGCTTGTTGTCTTTGTGATGCACACAGTCATTTTCCCCTTAATCATCAGGGAAGAGAAGAAGGCAATAGTAATGTATTTATATATAGAGGAAGTGGAGGGATATACCGGTATCGATGACAACATACCTTTAAATAACTAAATACTGGCATTAATCTTATAATACTATGATGTTCCTGTTCCTCTTAAAATTGTTTCCGTATCTGTATGCTCTTGATTAATCTCCCTCCACTAATGCAACACACACAAGTGGGTGTAAATCCTTTTTATTTATTTACATTTTTTAATAGATATGACAAAAATATTGTCATTGTGATTATTTGTTTTGCCCACAGCAGTCTTGTAGTGATTTGATTTTGCGACACAAAATGTGTGAAAAGCAAGCAGAGTCTTTGTGTAACCACTCACACTGTTCGGCCTTTTACTTGCGATATTATACCAGTATCTGTAAGATGCTAAAACATTTATGCCACATAGTGACAGTGATATATTGCAACAGGTAATGCGCCTGCGTTTCATTAAGAATTTCAAAAGTTCTCTCCTTCATGACAGCTGAAGGGCTGCCTGTTACTCACATTGCCTGCATGTTCCCAGGGAGCGTTACATGCAAATAAGTTGAACCTTTGCTAAGGTATTTGACATTTACGCTCTGAAGTCTACTCACCTCAAAGGTTTTGTTTAATCCTCCAGCACTTGACAACTGTTATAATACTGCAGTGAAATATCTGTAATTAATAAGAATAACACTGGTATATCATTGTGTGAAGACAATACTGTAGCAATGGGAGCTTAAATATACACCAGCAGACATGTTCTGAGTTATGTGTCTCCCTTTTCCCTTTTATTCTTTCATATATTTCTTAAAACACTTCCTTTTTCCACTCTGTGTGCGACTATCCCATCTGTCTTTTTGTGTTACTTTGCCTAAAGGTGTGAAGGAAACGTCCACAAGTGCATTTCCTCTCATGAAGTGCGGGTTATTGCAGTGTCCATTTGAGAGTGAGGCTAGGTGTTCACAGACCAGAGTATACTTTCCATAACAGAAGTGGTAACAGACTCAGCGAGCCAAGTAGGTCAGCTGGGACTCTATGGTGCTGTTTGCTTGCAGTGGTAGAGCAATAATCAAGATTTAAAGTCAATCTGAAAGACAAACGATATCAGCTGTGCAGGTTGATGCTAATACGCGTGGTGAGATCATTCCCTATTTAAGATTGTATGTCTTTTGCATTTCTGCTCTCTTTAGGAGAAACCTATCAAAGCATGGCTTGTTAGTCTTATCAACAATGCCATTTTTAGCTCACTGTATCTGTCTCATTAGGAAGGGACCAGGGAAATGTGAGCTGTCCCACAGACGGACACTGAACACACCGTATTGATCGTCCTCTCTTCAGGGACACCATTAGCGTTGAGCTCGACTGGGACAATGTTGGCTCATGATATCGACATCATATCGGGTGTAGCTTTCAGAAAATAATTGTGTTTCCCGCCCTTTATTTTTTGTATATTTTATTTTTGTCCTAATGTGTTACTTTTGCTTCGACACAGCTTCAGATAAGAACAGGATTTTTCTGTTTCTTTGTATTACAAGTTGTTGAGAAAGAGGAAGGGTGGAGAATGTTTTTATAAATGCTCACCGTTTACAGTCCAAAGTTAGGGGTTGGCTCTGGCTGATTACCAAAGACACTATTTGTTTTTGTAAGAGAAGACGCTTATTTATAGGGCTGCCCCCTGTTTGTGGACAAATCGGTCTTTTTGGTCACAATGGACTAAACTTCTTTAGCCGAGAGGTCATTTTTATTTTTTCACATTCTTAACTGCATGAACACATCTCTGGTAAAAACAAGATTTGAAGTGGTGCTTTTGGATCTTTGTGTAGATCCTTCGATTAAGTAACTATCCTAGCATCCTACAAAATCATATCATCAGCATTATTGAAGCTTTAGAGGAATGGTTCAATGAAATGGTAAAACTTATCTGTATACATGCAGTCTGAAAATGTTCCACCGGCTTTTGGATTTTTAAAAAAATCTAGTTTATTTTCATGCTTTTTTGTCACAGCTAACATCGTCTATTTGTCAAGTGAATATTAAAATACAGCCAGTTATGCTGCTTAGTCAATCAGATAATATTGATCTTGCCTGCAGTGTTTCTTTAAGGAAAAACGTTTAGTTGACTTTAGACCAGGGCAAATTATGAATTTAGTTCAAATGATGCAAACAATGTTTTTATTCAGTTGCGAAAAACACTCATGTCAAGTCAAGTATCCATCAGGCTAATGAAATAGACGGTTTCCAGGGAGGAGCACACATTGATGAGCATTGATTGATTGATGTCCTTAATCACATTCACATACTGTAGCTTACAATGGTCTGTCCCTCTAATTCAATCAGTTTGCTATCAAGCAAAGACTGCGTACAGAACACAACTCCAGTACTAGAGGAGAGTAAGCTTAAGCCTACTGTGATGAAATAAGATTAGGTTAATAAGTCATTTGGTGAAAAGCTTTTAGCTTGACCCACTTTATCCCCATCTTTACTTTATTTATGTCCTCTCCTTGCCTTGTTAATTTGACCAGTTGAGCACGTCACTGAGAGTTATACTTAGTCTGATGTCATCACTGTTTTATCACCACATGAAGGGATCAAAGTATGCTTGGGGGAAAGCACCCATTTATAAAGAGGTCAGGTTTTCCTGCTGAGTCAGCATTATCAGCTGAAACTCCTGTGCAAACACTTTGGGTGTGTCTAGTTTATATTGGCCCAGGCTATTTAAATGCCCTCTGAGGCATGAATGGATGCACGAGGTGGCGGAGCGATGAGACGGGGACTGCCGCTGGTTGTTCAGGTCAAAGGCCTGCAGGAGCGTTGTGTAATCAGGGATTACGTAAGAGCTGGAGAGCAGCCTCCAGTGAGCATCCAAGGTTTTTTTCAGAGGCGCTCATCAGGATTGATTTCTCTAGAAGGAACATGTATCTCATAAATGGATGTCCTCTTATTCACTCATTACAGTACCATGCGACAGAGAGTATGGCAGAAGCAGTGTTTGTGCAACAATACATCAGATGCAATACAACATGGCTCAATATCCTAAGTGTTCACATTAGGGCTGCTCGATTATGGCAAAAATCATAATCTCGATTATTTGGGTCAATAATTGATATCACGATTATTAAAAACGATTATCCATTTGCTTTGAAAACATCAATTTATTGAAAGAAAAAAAAATGTGAACAGTATGTTTTTAACAGTTGATTACCCTGAACTCTATAATTCAACTGAAAAACCCAAAAAAATAATAATATTTCGATTATGTTGTTTTCATAATCGTTGCAAGCCAAAATTGTAATTGTGATTAAAATACGATTAATTGAGCAGCCCTAGTTCACGTTTTGTTTTATGATCTATCTGAAGGTAACACTTACTACAAAGACATACACATAGGTGTGTTGTATTATAAACTCTCACTGTGACGCTTCTGCATACTTATGATAGGACATTTATGTATTTCAGGTTAAAGGACTAAACAAAAAGAAATAGGAAGAGTTCACCTTGGTCTCTGGGAAATTTCAATGCTACTGTTTTTATGAGATTTCATAGACTAAACAGTCAAGTTATTGAGAAAATATCAAGAAGATTAATTAACTATAATGGAATTCCTCCATATATCTACTCGACAGTATCGTATTTGTGTTTCTGCAGCAGGTCTGCAAAGCTTACTTGCGGCAGCTGTGAAATGGATGTGGCTTTCTGTGTGTTACAGTCTGCTGACACATCGTCTTGACTGAACTCCTGCCTTTCTCATAAAGTCTCCATGGCAACAATTATACCTCTTTAGTCCATTAGTGAGCTTTTAAAACACAGGAAGCAAGAGACCTTTAAGGTACATGTAAACACCTCTGGGACTGGCATTTAAGTCTTTGGACAGCTGTGTTTGTTCCGCGCCTCTCTCTCTCTTTTCCTCCCTCCTGTCTCTGCTCCCGTTGCCTCTCTTTCCGTCAGGTTCTGTTGTGCATTACAGGAATTTCCAAGATTTGGGATTAAGCTGCAGCTGAGGGATCTGCAGCCAAAAATCTAACTGTGCACACATTGGAGGGGAAGGCGAAACATTTTCTTGGAGATTTTCTCAACATTTTTATTTGTCTGCTCCAATAAAAAGCCATACGTGTTAATAGTTGTGAGTTGAAGTAAGAGAAGGCAGTCATAAGGTATTTCTGTTAGCTTTAAGGGTTGACGGAAACCAAACGAGTGTAGGGTTAGGTCAGAAGGGCTTCTGTGGTCTCACATTTCAGGAAACAAGCAGGCTGAATCAGACTTACATCCGACTGCTGGTGACTAAGCTCACATAATGACAAGAATATCCCATGATAGGCCAATAGAAGAAGTACTGCTGCGTGCCTTAGGGGAACATGTGTCACCTTCACACTCTGCCATAATGTCAGGGATGACACTCTGTTTAAGCCACGCATGGAGTTACACTAGTCTTACTTCATTTCTTCTATGACGCCTTGAATGTTTACACCATTTACGTCACAGTAGCACAAAGTACATCAGTGTGGATTTCTGTGTTTCAAACTATTGAGTAAACAAACGTTTCTGGCACATCATCAAGGGACAAAACCAACCAAGTTTCCGATCAAGTTTCATGTGAAACATTCATCTGGAAGCTCATTTCTTGATTCATTGGTCGGTCTATCAGAAAACGTCAGAAATTGTTTACATATTTTCCAATGAGGCTTTTGGCTTCACCACCTATTTCTATTTAAAATATCCCAAGGGCTGCATATTTACTTTAAAAGGGCGGGGGGCGGGGGGGGGACATTTCACATTTGATTTTTCTGGCCTTCAAATAGAGTAAAACATCAGAAAATCACGTTTGACAATTGCAAATTCTTCAAAAAACACTAAGAAATGCATTGCACACATTAGCATTCATGTCACAGCCCAGAGAGGTTTTTTTCACTCCAGCTGTCGCATGTACACATTTTAAAGTAGCTAGATCCGACAGAAGGTCTTCACCTGTCAGTTTCTGTTTCTTTTCAGCTCAGACTCTACGGCTCATGACACTTCTTCCTTTACTCCGTCAGAAAATGTCAGGAGTTTGATAAGTCAGCGGTCATCTGCTCCTGGTGTTTGACCCTGACTTCCATCAAACCATCCGCCTGAAAAGTTGTCGGCTATTTTCTAGTTTAGGCACCAGTATGGCTGAAGGCTTATTTTGTAGAAAGCAAAACTGCAGGCAGGGGTGCAGCCATGACGGTTGATATGTGTGAATGTGAGGTTGGTAAACCATCATGTTTACATCCTCTTACGCCACAAGAGTCAGCCACAGTGACGACAGCGTCAGCTCATACTGGCAGAACGGAGAGGGGGGACTCTCAGTATGAGTTTGATATAGATTCATGTTTGAAAGGTATAGTTTTTTGTTAAATGCGTAGCAGAGGTGCCATCTGTCATGATTTAGTTAAAATCACTTGTTTTGATCAAAGCAATGTCCAACATCAATAACCGCCAAATGACAATGAGGGAAAGATATGAAGCGTATAAATGACAATTAAACTTCCATAAAGAGTGGACTTTGTTTTTGTATCCGGTTGTATTGAAAAAGCTTCATGACGACGTCTCTGACTTTATAATGATTCCATCCGAGTTATGACCTGAGAGTCCTGTGAAAGAGGTTTTAATTATGCTCTTGAGAGCTACACACAGGATATTGTGCAACTTTTAGGCCAAAGCTGTTTGGAGAAAAAGTCAGCACCCCTCAGTTCATGATCATTGTTTACATCATGGTAATAATGCATTGCCAAGGTAAGATCTGACTTATGTCAATGCTTAACCATGATTTCATCACTAGACGATAGCTAGTTCTTACCACAACGACATGGTAACTAACTGCCAGCAACATCCCCTTAAATGGTTGTTTGAAGTGACATAATGTAATAGATATGTTTAAGGCCCACTCAAATTTAAGGCCCACTCAAATTCTCTTACTTTAGACACAGATGTGCCCTTGGTTCTCAGGAAGTTTGGAACACACTATTTAAGGCTGAATCCTTGAAGTTATGGATGTATGGTCAAGCTGTGTTCTTACATTTTATTAGCAAATAATAATGAGATTATTAATCAACCTTCCTGTGAAAGAGTTTTATAGATAACAGTTAAATGCTAAAAGTAATACAACTCATCTCTTAAGGAACTTAGCGGGCAGTTTTTCCAACACTGGTTTAAATAGTATGTGGATGATATCACCTTTTATAAATAAATGTTGTGAGTGTTTTAGAACATCCCCTTTCATGAAACTTGTCTAAAAAATGTCTAAAGACAATTGTTTGCCAAAGGACTGATGATATAAACATCTATGTTTACTATTGTGTACTCTATTGTCTTCTATTGTGTTTCTGGCAAATGTTTTATTTTTAAACATTAGAGTGCTTAACATGCTTTCTTTTCTAAAAACATGATAAGAATAGTGATCACAGAACAAAAAGATAATCCTTGATTTGTATGTCTACTCTCTTGTCCCCAACAGGAGCCCTGACGAAGGTGAAGGAGAGCCAGAAGCATGTGGAGGAAGGCAAGATGGACCGGGCGCAGGCAGAAGGCATCGACAACCGCTGCAACATCATCTCTGTCGCCACGCTTGCGGAGATCCAGCACTTCCACCAGATCCGCGTGCGCGACTTCAAGGCCCAGATGCAGCATTACCTGCAGCAGCAGATCGCCTTCTTCCAAAAAATCACAGGCAAGCTGGAGGAGGCTCTGCAGAAATATGACGACGCGTAAAGGATTGCTGGTTCCAGGCTGTCACTTTAGACCTCGGTGATCAATGACTCGGCAGCTCCTTCAGCCAGCCAACAGCAGCCAGTAGCACATACTGGTGAAGGCTGTTCACCCAGCAGGGAGGGACATTCAAGATGATGCACTCCAATAAAAACATTTCAGCAAAAACCCAGGGTTCTGTGTGCGTTGGCCACATTTTAGCTCACCTGGATGTTCTTGTGTTAGAAGAAGACTGTCATTTAACGAAGAACTGCCATCTTGTAATAGACAGTCATAGTTTAAAGGAGATTCAATTATAGTGATGGTGCAACAATGATCTGTATGTTGTTAGAGGAAAGCTCGTATCGGGTGCTGCGTACAGTCCCAGTGCAACATTTCACACATGTTGATGAGCGACTGCCACTGCAGGAGTGACTGACACCTTGCCTTCTTGGACGAACTGAACACAATGTTTACGGTCTCGCTGTGCCTTCTGATTACATCACTCTGGTCATTTGTGTTACTTGTTCTTAACAAGCTTTATATACTGTATATGTAGAAATATATTCTATTTGTTTTTACAAAGCTACACATTTTGCGATCTTTGAAAAAAAAAGAGATCACTGTGCTTAGAAAGAGGGCCGTGTCTTTTATGGGAGACAGTAATGTTCGATTGTGGGGTTTTCCCCCCCCAACAGTGGACCCTGGGGGGATTCTCAACTCTCACAGTGCAGCAAAAACAGAGAGAGGTGAACCTGCTTTGACTAAAGGAACCCATGCCTCACACGGGGGCACGGCCTCACACGGGACACAGCCTCACACGGGGGCACGGCCTCACACGGGGGCACAGCCTCACACGGGGGCACAACCTCACACGGGGGCACGGCCTCACACGGGGGCACAGCCTCACACGGGGGCACAACCTCACACAGGGGCACAGCCTCACACGGGGGCACAGCCTCACACGGGACACAGCAAGAAACCGCAGTATTTAAGGAATGAGTTCAATGGAAACTTGTCATGCCGGATATCTGATTCTGTGTCGACAAAATGTTGTTTTCCAGGGTTTGTTTTTGGTGTAGTGCTGAGGCCGTTAGAGGGTAGCGGGTTCCTCACCTTTTTAAAACACACACTTTTAGATGGATCATCTGCAGTTTTTAACTTCATGGTGTTGGCTGCATCATAAAGAGATTATCAAAATAAATTGCTCCTTAACAGAAAGCTGTCTGTTGGTCCTGTGTTTTGTCCAGTATTTCAAATGTGTAACTGATCTTTTGTAGTTGTGAGTGAGATTTAGACTAATACTCTGAATACAGTCAACAACTCAGGGAAAAAGACAATAAAAAGCTGATAATAATAAAGTTAATTTGCCTTTTAACGTTCCGTCAACCCATGTAACGTAGCAACTGTCCCACCTCATACTGGCAGAAGCCCAACGAAAGGGCTGTGGCTCTGCAGGTTTCCCCGGCTGCATCCCTGGAGGACTGGTGTGCCGTGTCAGTGTTTCATGCTAAGCTCACGCTCCGCTCGCAGATCTGCTGACTGTGCAAAGCCCGGCCAGCCATCTGGGACATCTGGCCTCTGTTAAAAGTGCTGGAGCGAATGACTGTGACCTCGTAGACAATGAAAAAGGTCAGAAAATATGTTTCTCATTAGCTGTCATCTCCACCACCTATCAACAAGATAACCAAGGTGCAGACCATTGCTTAATGGAGATAACACGTTCACATCTTGTTTTATTTGCATGTCAATAGCTATCTCCAATGCTGATGCCTTGTCTACCAACTTGAGGAGAATCCACTCTGCAGCAGGGTGTTTTTTGCCCGATGAGAATCCAATTTGACAGATGTGATGTGGAGCAGAAGATAACAAAGAGACACAGCTTATATCACCTCTGGGTCTTAAGAGGCAGCCTCCCAGTTCTGTAAATATGTTTCTATGTTAATATGTTCCTACCAGCAGATTATCCATCAAGACCCCCCCCCGCTCTGCCCTCCCTCTGCTGTTACTGCTTGAAATCTGAATTCCGAAACATTGATAGAAAATGTTGCGAGCTGCATATTCCCTGAGGTTTCTTATCGATAGATGTTTTGTTATGCCACCTATCGAACGTTTTCAGAAGTTTCGCTGTATTAGTGAACACTTTGACCTGCTGGTAGTGCTCCAAACATCGGGATCACCAAAGTCGTCATAGTTCCTCTTTTTGGCTCTAAGAATAAATGTTCCAAATTCCATGGAAATGACGCAAAAGGAGAATTCTCTGAATCTCTAAGTTCCATCCTCACGCATGTCTTTTAAACAATGAATAGCGATGGCCAACAGGCCGACATTGCCATCTGTGGAGCTTCACCATAGCATGGCTAAGAATATCCTGTCATGTGGGAACGAGGTCCGCTTGGAGACTCTCACCATCTCTTTTTTGTTTCCTTTATATTGTAATGTATATTCTGGTTTTCATTTTCTACATAAACTCAGCAATATGCACACCGCCTGTAGTTACCTCAGCCCTCAGGCCTTCTGTCAATACTGCCAACGCCCGGGGAAATGGGTGCTCCTGTTTTTACATTCTTCCCAGTTATAAGCCATGGCTGTTCTGAATTAGTAATACTGATAAATGTTTGACATACACACTTCAGAATGATCTTTTATAAAACAATCAATATTAAACCCGCATAAGATAAGAGCAATGGTGCTTTTGTCCTAATTTGGTATTGTTTAACGTCATACAAAACACTGCAGTCTGCACTTTTGTGAGGTCATTTTTTTTTTTTTGTAGGGCTGTTATTCTAAGAAAAGCAGGGGCTTCTTACTCACCACAGTCTAGCATGCAGAAAGCAACAGCTTCTGATTCAGACTTGGATTTTTCTTGAGACAGAGAGCAGTGTCAGCAGCTGAACACATTCCAAACACAAACGTCAAGTGTTTGAAACCACAAAAGCATCGCCAGACTAACCTTTCAAATGCAGCGGGGGAGCATGATGACAAAGCATTAAACCGTTACATTGCCAATGGCTGAAAACATAGAGGATAGAAGAGGTCGAGTGGGAGTTTGTTATTGAAGCTGTGGTACAGCTTTAAGTAACACATGTCCACAATAAGTGGTCATCACTTCTCCAACCAGACTTTTGACTTGAAGTGGCTTAGTGGAATTCACCGAATGTAACCCTGAAACATCCTGTACCCTTGTCATAAGTGTGGTACATTTAAGATTAACCCATTCGCAGCTGATCATCTGCTACTCTCAATTGAGGAAAAAAGCTATAATTTGACAACAGTACACCTCTATCATAGCTCAAAAGCAGTTTCAAAAAAAGTAATCAACTTGAATTTTCACAAGATGTTTACATTACATATAATTTAGCTGAAGCTTTTATCCAAAGCGACTTACAATAAGTGCAAAAAACATAAAAAATCAAACTCCGAACAACAAGTAGTGCAGATATATTCACTTCAAGCTAAATCATACCATTGTAAATGCTGGTGAGTTAGTTACAAGGCCTACATTTACTTTTTTTTTTTTAAAGTAAGTGTATGCAACAGTTGAGAGAACGGTGTTTCCCCATCTAATGAGCTGGCACTGACGCCACATTTAACCACACTTCATAAGGTCTGAATCAGTGTCTCGAGATCCTTAGATTACACCTTATTCCTGTTGCACCTCGCTGTGCAACACTCAGGTCTGATGTAAAAACTCAAACTTAAACTGGCCTTTTAGGGTTTTTCTGTTTGTAAAAGTGAAACATCTAGTTATCTTTCAGTCATCTTGGCATAGATCCTACCCTGCCACCTGTGCATTGGTTCACATCCCGAAACAAACACACCCGCAGCACATTACCTCCCTCTTTAGAACATTTGCACTCTGCTAACAACATTTCACACTTAACCTTATTTACCCTGACTTCCTCTCTTTGCTTCAGCTGATAAAAGCATTCCAAATCCCACATTATAATGCCAGGAAATGCCCTGAGGCAAGATTTCATCCTTCATATGTGTTCTTTTCATATTAGTTACAAATGACTTTTATTGAATAGGGAAGTGTAAAACCAAACACAGGATTTCTGTTGAAAGGAAGTTGGTTGTTTTAGATTGCAGTGCCACATTTCAAGTCAAGCAGCTACTATGAAAGCACAGAACATTATGTTTTTATAAGGTGTGTTGAAACAGCTGCTGTCTGCTGCATCCCATTGCACTTTGCTGGTCAGATGTAGATTCAGAGTTGTACATTTCAACTGTACTTCTTTCAACTTTAGCTTGTTGAAAATGCACACTTCGGGGTTTAGCATATGATTCCATATTAGTAGAATTACAGGATTCAGGTTACAATGTGAGTACCATCCACTTGCATGTATTCAATTGGCTATAAATCACCTAATTATGGTTTGGCAAACTGTAAGCGATGTTTTACTTTTTGCCGGACGACTCAAGTGTTAGCAAACACTGTTCTGCAGGGCTTGCTTCATTGAAATGAATGAGAGGGCTGCATTTTTTTATCATCCAAACACAAACTTAAAGTGTTAAATATATGCATGAGGGTGGTAAGTACAGACAACTGGAAATACATTGAACCAGTGTCACAATGTGAAAATATTAATAAACAAATGTATCAGTTTAAGTGTACATCTTGAAAAGGTGTTTAGCTCCAGGCTTAGTTTCTTGCTGTTGGGTGTCATGCAGCAAATCTGAAATTATTATCTATACATTTTAACCCTTCATTTCTTTCTTTGCTTGTGCTATAGAATATCATGCAGGTCACTTGAGTTTAGTTGCTGAGTCAGATCAATTCATGCATTGCCGACCACAGACACATTCACAAGTGCTGTTTCTGCTCTGTCACTTTTTTTTTCTTTTTTTCTTTTTCTGCAGAGTTCAAACTTCTGGAATGCGAGGCGTCTGCCTGGACTCAGCATATTCCTACTGGAGCAGTCTCTGGCTGGATCTGTCTTCTATTACAGCAGGGACCGTACAGGTCTTTGATTTTTGGTGTTTGACACGTTATCATTCTGAGTAAGACATACAGAACCACTAGCAACAAAGCTAGCTTCATGTTTCTTTATGATAAAACAGAGGGGGTGTGTGTGTGTGTGTGTGCGTGCGCGTGCGTGCGTGCGCGCGTGCGTGCGTGTGTGTGTGTTTTAAGTCCCCCAGGCCACCTCCTGAGCATTGTTCTAATTGGTTCCCGTGTGAATTTCCATTATAGTCTAACTTTTCTTAATCTTGTAAACGTTTCTACAACATTTAGAGCTAAAAAATCTGTTTACCAGAATGGAACTATCTCACAATGTTAACATAATTAGTGTTACATTTCAATATGGCCAGTAGTATCCTGCTAACAAACAAAAAAAAAAACTAACTGTTTGCATTTGACATTTTAAATCTTATATGGTCAGTGTGTCCCCCACATGGTGCAGGAAATTCCATCCTCATTCTGGTCTGTTACAGAAACCTGTGTTCGTGTAACTGTTGAAAGTTTGTTGCGTGTGGTTATCTGCAGACCGTTAATTGTTTTATGGTGACTGGCACAGCGCCATTCTATCTATATGGCGCTGGACTGGCAGTGTTAGGTTAAACGTGTTCCTATTTTTTAAAACAAAGATTATATCAATGTTCTTCCTCTTTTGTTTAGCTTAGCACGGAACATTCCTGAAATGTTTCACAAACCGAACATTTGTATTGTTTAAAAGCAGTGTGGTAGGTGCAGTATGTACAAGTGTCAGTAGTGTGATGTAATGTACTTAAGTCCAACAAGCACTTCCAAAGGGGTGACATTACATTGCAGAAGTTTACTGCTCACCACTTTAAAGTCAGTGAATATCAGTCAGCGTGTTGAATAAAAAAATATATTTCTGTATTATTCCTATTCATAATTGTTTGTCCTATCACTTAAAACACAAGAGCTAAAAACTTTTTTTTAAGTCCATAGTATAAATAGTTTCTCAACTTCAAACTCAACTTCTTGTGGTTTATTTCTGTAAACTTATGAAAATGTACTTCCTTCTCTAAATCTATGAGCAATACTTAGTTTGTATTTAGAGAAGAGCTGAGTCTTTGTTCTCCTTTCTCAGTTTAGTTATTATATGATAGATATGACTACGCTCAGTGACTTATTGGTTTTGCAAGAAAACATTATCAGACTCAAATGTGGGCTTTGAGTTTTGAGCACCTTGCAGGAGTCGCTGCTGCTGTTTCAAATGTTTCCTGGTGTTTTGACACGTTTTGTGGCTGTGTTACCCCCGCTTGAGTTTGACCAACCTCGTGGACTTGACCTCAAGCACCTTTATCAAGTGAGGGTCATCTCAAAAGCTTAGACTTATTTCCCCTGAAATATATGGTGACAGTGTG